AAAAAAAAAAAAAAACCGGCCTCGTCAGTCTACTTGTCAAATCTGAGGATTGAAAGGAGAAAAAAGAAAAGAATCTGAGGAATGATGAGCACTGAGCATTGTGAGAATGCATGGCTAAGGGCAAAATCACACTGGCACTTTTATGAGTGAATCTGGCTGGAATGACGTTCCGTTACGCTCAAGGACAGTTGTGCTTTTCCCAGCCATTTCGTCCTGACGTGCCAGTCAACCAGATGAAATAACACAGGCCAGCCCTACCGGACTGAAAAGGCTGACTCCCCCATGCGAATTGCACGCACGGGGGTTCGGTTTTGGCCCGCAATAAAATTGAATTTTCCACATTGAGGAAAAGAGACTCACGAGGGGAACTGGTGGTTTAACACTCGTAAGCAAATGCCCTAAGCAGACAGGGAATGATGCAGGCAAGCTGGGACCTTTTGTAGAAGAAGTCTGAAGAATGAGAAAATGATGAAAATCCAAACAATTCAGAACAAAATTCAGATCAAATTTTAAGGACGAAAGTTACCGACTTCGTGATGCTGAGAAGATTAGCATGGCCCCTGCGCAAGGATGACACGCATAAATCGAGAAATGGTCCAAAAAAAAAAAAAAAAAAAAAAAGAGAACTTACTGTCTTCGTGATGCTGGTGTATGCCGACAGAACCGCTGCCACATTTGCATAGTATACTTGCAGCCGGGCCTTGGCCTGAGAAGCGACGGACAGGACAGAACAACCGGACTTAGCGGAGCCATATTTCAGACAAAGGAGTGAGTCGAGGACAACATACTGGGGAAACCCTGGGGAACGTGGGGGGAAGGTTTGGGGGGGGAGAGGGGGGAGGAACGAACAAGCAAATTAAACAATGTGTAAGAAATGTGAATTTGCTTGTGAATGTTTGATCCGCTCCACGGAATGACCATGAATACCAAACATTGTGGACGTTAATTTTCCCTCCTTGGAATGAAGGGCATATTAATATTCACATGCAATTTCACATTCACAGTGATCAGCAAATGATATTGCAACTTACTCTCATCATCATCATCATCATCATCATCATCATCATCATCGTCATCATCATCATCATATCGTAATCATCATCGTCATCAGCATCAGGATCATCATCGTTGTCATCATCATCACCTTCTCATCATCATCATCACCATCATGGCTATGAGAAGAGGTAAAGATATGCAATAAGTGCCATTAACCATCACCATCACCATCATCTTTCTCTTAATCTCCTCCCTCCCCCCCCCTCCTCCTCTTCCTCCTCCTCCTCCTCCTCCTCATCATCATTATCAGCATCAGCATCAGCACCTGCAGCACGTCTCATCACCATCACATCACCATTCACTGTCCTAGCATGGAGAACAGGTGACGATGCTCAAACAGAAGCAGCAGAAGAGACAATTGTATGTGAAGTTGTGAACAGCAACAGCGGCAGTGGCACTGGAAATGCAGCAAAAAGCATGACACTTACCTTCTCCTCCGTATCATCTGACCTCTGTGTGAGTCTTGCCCTGATCTCCTCAGTCTCTGGTGGGAAGTATGTCAGGTGGTAGATCTTCCCGGTAATGGGATCCAGACGCCGACCCACGACCCTTTCCACCAGTAGTTCCTCGGGAACCTGCAACCATGGCCACCGACCCCACGCGGAAGAGCAATTGAGTTAGCATGTAGCATAGCAACCATAGCATAGCATAGCATAGCATAAAGCAGCTTAGCATGGCATAGCATAGCATAGCATAGCAACAGCGGCACAGCATAGCATAGCATAGCATTGAACAAGCAACCATAGCATAGCACAGCATAGCGATCACTCAGTCCATCCATCCGTACTCTGGCTCACTTACATCATTTACATGCCAATCCATCAAAACGCAAATCGTGTTTGAAGCTCCCACACTGTTTCAGAGTCTTTCTTTCAGACACAATTTCCTTTCCTTCTCTTCCCCCCCCCCCCCCCCCCCCCTTCTTCCCTCCCCTTTTTTTAATTTCCTTTCCTTTTCATTTGGCATGAATGGAGGATTTTGAATATGAATTTCTGAAAGTATTTCGACTGCTTCTAAGTTCTAATTTCATTAAGAGAATTTAAGACTTTACATTAGTGTTATTATTGTTATTATCATCATCATCAATGTTTCATCATCAGTATTATTACTATTATTATTGTTGTTATTGTTGTTATTGTTGTTATTGTTGTTATTGTTATTATTGTTAAGGCATTTTGAGGGTATTGCTGGTCAGCTTGAGTATGCATGGAATGAATGGATGCTCACACACGACGTAGCAAAAGGTCATGGTTCATTCAGTGTACAACAGAGAAAAAAGCTGTCAACTTCACTACTATTGACAGAGATCCAACGATTGCATTTTTTTTCTGTAATTCTTTATTATATTGACACATAACCCTGAACATGATGCATTTCGCTTGCTGCTGCCAACTGGCTCATCAGGAGGAACAACCATATCCACCCTTCAACCCTCAACCATAACCTACTCCCTTCACACGGGCATCCCCCCTGCTCTTGCCATCTTAGCAAGCTTGGCACTAATGTCCATCCTTAGCCATCACCGTTCTTAGGATGAGATGATGACGCCTTCACTCCAACATCATCCCTGCAAAGAGGAATGATTATGTCAAATTCAATTGCTCATCAGTGTGTGTGTGTGTGTGTGTGTGTGTGTGTGTGTGTGTTTTAGATTTTCCCCACAACAGTGTGTGTGTGTGTGTGTGTGTGTGTGTGTGTGTGTGTGTGTGT